GGAAAACCTAAAAAAGCCAGCTTACTAGCTTGTAGGCTAACGAATGTTTCTCTTATAATATTTGTCTTATTAGTGCTTCATCAAGGGGATATTAATGGGTTCAAGAACTACAGAGTATCATAACCTTAATAATAATCTTTTCCTAATTTTCTTAGCTTCTGCTTACCGCGAGTTCTCCTCACTCGCGCTGATCTCTCTCCCTCTCATCATCTTCCTCACCACCAATATCGGCCACGGGTGCTGAAGATGGACCTGCACCTGTACTAAACATGTCGGTTATTTTTGACACAAGCGGCAGCATCAGCACGAAGGGCCTGCTTTTTTCTTGCCTCGAAAAAAAAGGCATTTTGGCTTCAACGGGGGCGTGATTTAATGATGCACACCGAGCGGCCCAAAGGGGGAGGTGATTAAAGATTGATTGGGCCGGCCCAGTGTCAATTACTAAAAACATTTAAACAGAGGGCCAATCTACCCGTCTTTTGGGCCGTGACTTCAGAAAAAAAAATATGACGTGTCGGCCCAAAAGGCACATCGGCCCACCGGGAAAATGCCCGGTATGCCAGATGGCCAGTCCAGCCCTGGTCGACGCACAACTGTTGATTGGTGTCAGTGCCAAAAAACCTTTTAGGAGCAATGCGCTCATGGTATAGATGTGGCACATACATCTTAATTCCTACTCTTTTCCCTCAACCTATCCTAAGGGAGTGCATGTACATAGACACGTTGTGCCTCTCCACCTCTGTTCCTTACTTCTTACTTGCTATCCTTTTCCCTCAACCTATCCTAAGGGAGTGCATGTACGTAGACACGTTGTGCCTCTCCACCTCTGTTCCTTACTTCTTACTTGCTATCCTTTTCCCTCAACCTATCCTAAGGGAGTGCATGTACGTAGACACGTTGTGCCTCTCCACCTCTGTTTCTTACTTCTTACTTGCTACCCTTTTCCCTCAACCTATTCTAAGGGAGTCCATGTACGTAGACACGTTGTGCCTCTCCACCTCTGTTCCTTACTTCTTACTTGCTACCGTTTTCCCTAACCCTATCCTAAGGGAGTGCATGTACGTAGACACGTTGTGCCTCTCCACCTCTGTTCCTTACTTCTTACTTGCTACCCTTTTCCCTCAACCTATCCTAAGGGAGTCCATGTACGTAGACACGTTGTGCCTCTCCACCTCTGTTCCTTACTTCTTACTTGCTACCCTTTTCCCTCAACCTATCCTAAGGGAGTGCATGTATGTAGACACGTTGTGCCTCTCCACCTCTGTTCCTTACTTCTTACTTGCTACCCTTTTCCCTCAACCTATCCTAAGGGAGTCCATGTACGTAGACACGTTGTGCCTCTCCACCTCTGTTCCTTACTTCTTACTTGCTATCCTTTTCCCTAACCCTATCCTAAGGGAGTGCATGTATGTAGACACGTTGTGCCTCTCCACCTCTGTTCCTTACTTCTTACTTGCTACCCTTTCCCTCAACCTATCCTAAGGGAGTCCATGTACGTAGACACGTTAGTTTAGCTGCTATAGGCTTAGACTGTCGGGGGACACCTTACTTCTTCCTTCTGTCTGTCTGTACCTGCGTACTCTCATGTTCCGAATAACCCAGCTTCCCCCAAATGTCTTTTTGGTGTCTATATCTACGCCGGGATCCTGAGTCGTGGCTGATCCTGTTGCTGTGGTCCTGAGTCCTGGATCCTCTGTCCTGAGTTCTGGATTTGAGTCCTGGACTTCGAGTCGTGGCTGAACCTATCACTGTGGTCCTGCCTGACTCTCATCATACTACTTCCCTCATGGCTCCCACAGGATTGTTGACATCCTCGTGGATTCATCTTCTTATTATAGACACATGCATTTCCAAACATTTGGTCTACCTATGTTGTAAATGTATTATCTCTTCGATTTACACACGGCATCTATTGCACGTCTGTCCGTCCTGGGAGAGGGATCCCTCCTCTGTTGCTCTCCCTGAGGTTTCTCCCATGTTCCCCTTTAAACTGTGGAGTGTTTCTCTGGAAGTGTTTCCTTGTACGATGTGAGGGTCTAAGGACAGAGGGTGTCGTATTGTCATACTGATATTCTGTACAAACTGTGAAGTCCACTGAGACAAATGTAACATTTGTGATATTGGGCTATATAAATAAACATTGATTGATTGATTCTGTAAACTGTCCTTGTAATCTGATTACTGTATAATGATACGACGCACATTAAAGAAAAAAATATCTGATGTACTTAAATTGTATTTTGACAGCAACAAATGTTTGTTTGTAAAAAAAACTTGATAGCTGCTTCCTGGATTTATGGTCACATGACTACACATGCAGTTTCCTAACATGCTCCTCTCTCCTACTTGTCACCTGTTTCTTTAAGTCAACAGTCAACTTGCATTGTGGGTAATGTAGGCGCAGAGTTTGGGGATATTCTAGTTTAATGTGAAGGCTTAACATAACAATTACAAAATAAATGTCATGGTAATCAGTTGCAGTCACTGAACAAATGTTGGCAGTTACAGAATGGTTACATCCCAGTGTGTGATCTTAAAGCTCTTAAATACATTATACATTCATTCTGATGAATCTGAAAGTTATATTTTATATATTACTCATTTCAAACTATAGAACTTTTTATACATGATTAGCAATACAAATCTTCATTTAGATAATGTTGAAGGAGTTTTAGTAAAGGTTTTGACAAGGAAGAAGAAAGTGTGGAATATAAAGATAATTTTTTTCTCTCAAATTGTGTGTTTCTGTACTTACGTTTGCTGTTTCGAGTGCATATGTGTTACAGTGTGAAGTATTGCACTATAATGCACTACGAGTACTTAGATGATCCATTAAAAATGGTCAACAAGTTGACTTCTCACACTTAATGACCGCCATCTTGGCTACGTGTCGAAAGTTAACTACGCAATTGCAGTTGCTCCGGTAGATATTAAATAAAAGTTCTGCATGTGTTTTTTAGTAACATTTGCATAGTGACCACATAGTAGTAACATTCCATTATATTGGTTTAAAAAGAAACCACATTAATTTTATTAGGTTATTTGAGCAGTTTATAATCACCTGGTAGCCTACCGCAAATTATCGCAGCTAACTAGCTAGCTAGCTAACAGCTGCCATCATCACTTCCTGTGAGGGCCCAGCAGTCCTGTGCTATCCAACACAACACTACAGGGTGGAAATGAACACACTGCCTACGTTTTAACAGAGCACGACATGGCAGCAGGGCCGTCCCTCCCTACAGGCCGATCACGCCGACTGCGTGGCTCCACTAGCAATTAGGGCAATTAGTGTGGCGCGGCACGGTTCCGCCGCTGCGAGGCTCCACTAGCACCACCCCCCCCGCCCCCGTCGACGCTCGCAAAACAGAGGGCCTCATCATATAACTTTGCGTGGGGCCTCAAGTTTGCCAGGGACGGCCCTGCATGGCAGTATTCTAAAGGAAGTATCAAGAGACTGGCAGATGTCTCGGTTCATGCTGCATACATTTTCAACACTTTTGTTTGGGACAGTCTGCATGAGCGTTACACAGTGATAGACAGCTGAGTCAGCATTAACACTGCTGAAAGTTACACTTTCTCTCTGGAATACCAGCTAAATTGAACTGAAGTGAATGAAACTTAATGTTTTGCTGAGTCATTAAGGGACATATCCTCTAACATTAGCAGCTCTCACTCATTAATGTGTCCACTGTTGTGGAGTGGTGTGGGAAGATGCATTCTGATTGGTCTACTGTTTCTCCAAGCAGGACGTCCCGCTGCCAATGAGCACCCCCACACAGTGAAAGCATCTCTGCTGTGATTGTGAGTGGTGAAGCTGAACTGAATCACATTCATCTGACCCCAGACCTGCTGCTGAAAACCCATCAGCCTGTACTTTGTTTGTCCAGACTGTAAAATCCCAACCAATATTGGACGGACTGTTCCGTCCAACTATTCCCCTCAGGAGGAATCTGCCTGGCTCTAGTGATACTTTGACCATCATCAGGTCAACATTTTAACATGTCCCATACTATAGTTTATGACCTAACATTACATTACATTACATTACATTTGTTAGACGCTTTTATCCAAAGCGACTTACATACATTCAGTACTGTGAACAATCCCCACAGGAGCAATTTGGGGTGAAGTGTCTTGCCCAGGGACACAACGACATGCTGACTGCAGTGGGACTCGAACTTGCTACCCCCTGATTCGAAGTCCAGCAGAACTGATGACATTGACGATTTCCTCATCACTTTGTTTTATACAAATGCGCAAATGTTAGTATGCTAACATGCTACACTGAAAAGATAATACCAAAGCATCGTCACTGTTGGCATGCTAGCATGTGGACGCTAGCATGTGGACGCTAGAATGGCTCTTGTTATTTTGAATTGTACCTGTTCAGGGTATGAGTTGGGGACCCCCAGAAAATAGGTCCGTGCTGCTGTCCCGCTCCATCACAAAGACTTCACCGGGCCACCATTCACGCTTTCATTGACATTATTTAATATAAAGGACGATATCATGTTGAGCTGAGGATTCAGTACATCCAAGGGTTTTATGGAAACATAACAAATTCAATAAATAAGAGAAATGAAAACAACCACAGCTGGAGGTACACGTCACTGACAATAGATCAAGCCATTCCTTAAGTCATAAATAAACATTCAATATTCCGACAGACTTTTTTTTAAACAAAAAAATCAACTATTTGTCTATTACGTAGTTTAAAACAGCATTCGGAATAGGGAGCTAGAACATAGATGTATGTACAGTTTCTGGTAGATATTCACATTCTATCAAAATAATCCATTGAAATTAAAGCCTTGAAGTGTTGGTAGTAAAAAGGAGAGCAGAGCTGACAGTCTGTCTGCTGGAACATTTCAGTCTGGTCTCAGAGTGTGTGTGTGTGTGTGTGTGTGTGTGTGTGTGTGTGTGTGTGTGTGTGTGTGTGTGTGTGTGTGTGTGTGTGTGTGTGTGTGTGTGTGTGTGTGTGTGTGTGTGTGTGTGAGGGTCTACAGGTGTGTGCTGTAGAAGGCGGGGGCAGCGTAGCTCTGTGTCCCCAGCATGAAGGGGGACAGGACGTGGCTGGCGGTGAGGAAGGGCAGCTGGACCAGGCTGCCGGCGGAGTGGTGGTGGTGGTGGCCCCCGTAGCTGTGCATGGCCAGGTGCCCGCCTAACGGGGGGGACTGACTGAGAGGGCTGAGGCTCCCCATGCCTCCCCCCCCTGATCCTCCGCCCCCTGCACCGGTGGGGGCAGAGGTGTCCGCCCCGGGGTTCTGCTTCTTCCACTTGGTGCGGCGGTTCTGGAACCAGATCTTGACCTGGGTCTCGGTGAGGGACAGCGACAGGGCCAGGTTGAGGCGCTCGCACACCGACAGGTACCGCGTGGACTTGAACTTGTTCTCCAGCGACACCAGCTGCTCGTAGGTGAAGGCAGTCCGGGCTCTGCGGGGCTTCCCCGACTTGGAGTCCGAGCCGGAGCGCTTCCTCTTGGGTTTCCCCTGCGAGCCCTGGCTCCCGGTGCTCTGGCCGTCGGTGTTCTGGCCCGCGGGGCTCTTGGTGTCTCTGTCGGGGTCCTGGTGACCCTGCTGGCCCCCCTCTCTGTCTCCGTTGGAGGGCAGAGCGGAGCTGCTCTCCTCGCTGCTATAGGGCCCGTCTGCTGCCTCAGAGTCGGGGCTCCCTGCTCTGTGGTAGTCCTCCTCCTCGTCCTGGCCCCTGAACACAAAGCCTTCCTCTGGAAACACAACAAAGACCAGGTCAGATTTACAGTCAGAGCCTTTAGTTTTGAGATTGAGCTTTAGTGGTGATTGGTAAATGAAAGTCACACAGAGATGCGGGCCCCTATGGGGGCCTGAGGTGCCCGAGGCCCCTTGGCTCAGTCTTTTTCCTCGTGTTAAATAGTGTAAATGAGATGGCAACAGTATATTTGACAAGACAACGAAATAATGATAAAGTGTTTCGTAGTTTAAATTAACTTGGCAGTACAAAAATGTGACACAATAAAAATCACTGAGGCCTGTACTCCCAAATATATATATATATATATATATATATAAATATGTGTGTGTATATATATATATACATTTATATATATATATATATATATATAAATATACTGTATATACATATATATATATATATATACTGTATACACTGTGCTTCTGTTGTGCTAGTTTGATATCTCTGTTGAAGAATATACCTCACAATAGTAAATATTAAAGCTACAGGAGACTCATAAGCCCTTAACATTACAGTTTGCATTATGCTATGGTGTATTACCAAAAATGAGTTTGTTTTTCACTAATAGCCCGTTAGTTATTTTTGACTGGCCAGATATTTGTTTTATTTTTGTAATCATTAATGTTCGAGCTGATAATGAAATGGACATTTTAGTCAAGGGTTTGGTGTGTTGAAAACTAAAATCTCATATATTTGAATCCAATCATACTTCACAATATTCTGTCTGACTCACAGAGCTCACAGTTGGGCACAGACATGCTGTTAATATTACATAATGCTTCATGTGTTTATGCATGAAGAGTATTCCTGACAAAAAACGTACAGAAATCATTTTAATGAATTTGAATATAAATGTGTTAACAATGAGGACCTTGATATTTAAATATTCCATAAGATGTAACTACTCTTCACTGCAGCCTGAAACCAACATTTAAAATCTCAACATGAGTTGATAAGACTTGTTTGTCCCATTTTAAGTGTAATTATCACCACCCTTTTATTCAAATCCTTCAATTTGTTTATCATTGACTACACACATTTTAAAATGGATTGTATAGGAAAGTGTATATTTTATTTTTCTTCGAATGCGTCTTGACTGCTGTGTATTTATCACAGGTCAGGAATAGCAAAAAACGAAATAGTAGAGGAGAGAAAACACGCAATGGGTAAACGAATTATCCATGAACCGGAGTCATTTACCACACGAATGAAATGTGTAACACACAAAATACAGAGACAGATATTCTAACAGTATTACTCATCCCACACGCACGAGCCGTATACACCTCGTGCTTTTTATTTCTTTTTTATCGGAGCTTTAATTTAAGGCGACGCGTTTCTTTTTCTTCGATCGACAACGAACTTTAACTTTCGATCAGAAGGTTTTGTTTTAAAAAAACAAATACATTCCCTCAGGATTTACAGTTACACTATGCCTATCAAAAAATCAGGAAAGTCAATATGTATTACATTGAAAAGAATAGCTTAACAAAAGTTATCTCACACAAACAACTAGGCCTACTACAGTACACCTAAAAAGAAATCGATTAAAAACGAAATCCACTTAATGTGAGCTTTGGCCTAATGAAGACAGGTTTACCTACAATTACAAAATACATTTTTACAGTTAAATACTCAAATCAAAACGATAAAAAAATAAACACACACACAGAGATAAAGATTTTGGGGAAAACGAAATACATGTTTTAAAAGGCTGAATTACTACAGAAAATGTAAGTTTTAAGACATTTGGACGGAGAAAGAGCGGCGGCGACTGGCGGGAAAACATTAACAGAACATGATGGAGCAGCCTTTAAAGGTAAATCCGTAAAATGGACTCACTGCTCTGGTATTCCTCCGCACCGTAGCAGCCTTTAGCCGACTCCACACTGGGCTCGCGCTCCCCCGCTCCTCCTCTCCGGTTCTCCGCTCCGTACGCGCTCAGCTCGCGCTCACCCCGGTGGCTCGCGTGCTGCTGTCTTCGGCAGCTCGTGAACTTGTTCGGGTCCAGGATGTCCAGCACGGAGAATGAGGTGGTCCGGTGCCCGGTGGGGCCCTGGAGAATAACGCATTGGAATTATTCATTGACAGCTAGAGAGTAAGAGCTGCAGATATTGGGTTATCGATTATTTTGTATTTTGAATTGTTTATAATAGCCTACTCGTCATAATAATATTCATAATATTAATAATAATAATAATAATAATAATAATAATAATAATAATAATAATAATACAAAATAAATAATAATAATATTAAGCATACTAGTATTAGGCTACTACAACTACATGTAGGCCTACTACTGTTACTACTACTACTAGCCTACTACTACTTATAATAATAATAATAATAATAATAATAATAATAATAATAATAATAATAATAATAATAATAATAATAATAACAATAATAATAATACAAATAATAATAATAATAGTAATAATAATAATCATTGTAATAAATGTCATACGGCCCGTGAAATACATGTGTCTCCTATGTGTACATCGGGTATCGAACAGCCAATCAAACGGCGCTAAAGTGTGTTCATAAAGCGAACACACACAACATGACCACAAATCAAACACATTTCCTATTTCCAATATGTAGCGGTCAATAGGTATCAGAGGGCGAACGAATCAATCCCATTTTATTTATATGGTTCTCATGTTGAAGGGATAAAAGGAAGTACACTCTTTAGTCAGGATGAAAAGACATTAAAAGACACTTTGAAGTTGAATGAAGACACAGGTTTATGATTTCCAAAAAATCACAAATCCTTGCATGAGTTTAACCCTGTGTGTGCCCCCCGTGTTTATATGATATATATATATATATGAACCCTGAGTTTATATCCTGAAGATTTATGTGAAGCCCAAAAGGCGGCCGAGTGCATGGAGCAGATAAAAGATTAGGATCATTCACTTATTAATGAGGCCAGTCTGGAGCATGTCGACATGAATAATCCCACATTAATAATATTATAATTCTCCCTTGAAATAATCCCAGGGAGCATGCGGGTTGGACCCATGGGCCTATTAACATGTGATGATAAGAATAATCACACAATAGCTCGGTGTGATTAAGAGGGATAGTCCAGTTCAGATAGGAAACACAAACTAATCTACGATCATGACATTTAATCCAAGGATGTAGGGTTATTTTTCTAGAATTAACAGGAGTACTTTTTCAATTATAACCTATTGGATCTTCTTCGTATAGACTATTTCATTTGAAAGTAAATGGAAATACTGTGAGATCATTCTGAAAGAGTGGACTTGTAAGGATTTATTAAGGATTCAATCGCAATACAGTTTGCAGGAACAACTACATGATGTGAGCTTTTATAGAAATGCATTTGATTGTATAGGTATTGTGATTGTTTCCCATCTCATTACCGCAGCAAATTGGCGGATAATTTTACTGCTATGTCTTAATTAAGGCCTCATCTGCCGGCATGGCAGCAGGCCCACAGGAAGACAGCTGTCATACAAATACAAATACACACCCTCTGTCGTTTACCACGGGGCATTTTCAGTTCTGTTACTTTTTGCACTTCAACTTTCTGTTACTTTTCATGGCAAACTATTTACCATATTTCCTGTTTATTTCAATGCAATTTATAGGCTTATATGTTCAAAGTTCAAAGGCTTTATGGTCATTTGCACATCTACAGTGTAGTTATGGAAATGAAAATCTTAAATGCATGCTCCTCCAGCAATGCAACATAATATGTAGGCCTAGGCCAATAAGACATAAAACAAATACAAATAGTGCAAGAAGAAACAGAAATAAAATAGTGCGAGAGAATGTTGCAGGATGGTGTTTACTTCTGGGTCTGGATCTATTTTGTTCACTCTGTGAGTCTACCCTCTCCCCCAAATCCCCGTGAGGTGTTGCGTGCATCTACCTGCTGTGGCGGGGCTAACACTGGGTTGGTAGGCGGAGGTTCCGAGTGGTTCTCCCCGGCCTGAGCGTCTCTGCCTCCCGCCCCCGCCCCCGCGCTGGAGAAGAGCCGCTTCTCCCCGGCGGCTGCTCCCTCCAGAATGTCTATGCTGTCCGGGCCCACCACGGTCTGGACCCCGTCCCCGCCGGGCCCCGGTACCGCTCTGTCCCGATTCATCACGGGCTGGACCACGTCCGCCAGGGGCCCCGGTGCACTTCTGTCCCGGCTAATCACGGTCTGGACCCCGTCTGCTCCGGGCCCCGGCACCAATCTGTCCCGGTTCATCACTTTACTGTCCCTGTCCCATATATCAAGAATCCGGTTTAAAAATGAGGAGCGGTTAAAAATGGAAAGATTCTGGACCGAGCCGTTTTAAAGGGACCGTGTGGTTCTGACGCGGAGGGGACCCATCAGCATCCAGAGTGAGGAGAAGTTTTCCACAGAACCGGATCCCGTCAAACTTTCTGTCCTCTCTGCATCCCCGCAGTCTCTCCGCTGATCGGCTCACTGTGTGTCCTGTACGGTACCGTTATCCCGTGTCGGCGCACACACACACAAACACACGCACAATAAAAGCAGCGTGCCGACCTCCAGCCCCGCGCGCTCTGTCTGCTCACCGGTGGGTGCGCGCTCTGGAAGCCTGACAGGAGTTGAAGGCGGGACGGGACTGATCTATCTCTCTAATAGTTCAAACTAGCTCTCGCCCCCCCTCCCTCTCTCTATTAGTTAAGCGAAGCCCCCGCTCTCCTCCCATTCTTCTCTCTCTCCTTCAGCTCGTGCAGCTCTCAACGCCTTTTTTGGCTTTTAGCTGGCCCCTCGAGGACCCATTCACATAGGCCTACTCATATATGTGCATGTGTGCGTGTGCGTGTGTGTGTGTGTGTGTCCCTCCTTATTTATGCATTCCTATTCAACTCTACGGCTTGTAATTGGCTACAAATGAATCCCACTTCCACTAATAGTCTATTATCTCGGGGCTGCGCACGGAGCAATCCGGGCCGCCACTATCCGAGCACGAGGAGAAACAGGGGGAGAGCGCTGGCTCTTCTTTTCTCCCTGACAAAATGAAGTGAAATAGTTTACACAGGAGCGAAGGTGAGGTGCAGTGACCAGTTCTGTTTAGGCCCATCAAACATTTGCATTGCTAATTTCAAACAGAGCAATGGATGGATGGAGCTATTCCATCGGATTTCTGAGTATTGCAGGAAATGAGATCTGTGGCCAAGACATGTTTATAATACGTATACGTTTTGTACAGGAGGATAAACTCCACATATAAACACCAGTTTTATCATTTAAACATTTTGCAATATGTTACCACCACTAATAACCTTAAATTGGTTAATGTTCGTCAAATCACGTGTAGGCTACTAATCTCATGTAGTCACTCGTTAACAATCTCTGTTTTTATGACACATAAAAGTGTTTGACACCAGTGGAGTATTTAGGCTACTGACGGATTTTATGTCCAAAAACGTGAAAATCTCGTCATCTTGTGTTGACCTTATTTCAGGCATTTAACTGAAAAAAACACGTTCAAAGAGCCGTTTCCTTCAAGACAAGTGAACCGGATATGGTAAAATGCTTACTTAGTACCAGGTGTTAGGACTCCTTCCTGCACCCCTCTGATAGGCTGCTGCTCCCTCGCGCAGCACAGGTACAGTAGGCCTCGCGCTGGGGCCAAGGTTAACTGGCCCGCGTGTAATTGACGTGCAGCTGATGTGTCGCCTCGCGCTGCTTTACTCGCGCACACAAGGAAGGAGCGAGCCTTATCTTGAATGCAGATTCCAGGGTAGGGCCTCCTCAAAACTCAATTACGGCCTGAATAAAGCCGGTAATGTCCCCGCTGCAGTGAAATATTGATTCCTAATCCTTGACAGTCATTACTATGCCAGAAAATAATAGACCACAGAATTGGATTTTGATTTAACACACGACGTGTTTATTCTAATGCTAGGGACTTAATATTCCGTCGACTCTCATGTTCAGCCACAGAGGAGAGGGGGGGCTCTGACGCCACACTTTTTATATTGTTGTTGAAGAAATAAAAAAAAAAGAAAGGGGAGATGGGACATCTTTCCTGTCCTCCTCCCCGGCCCTAATACACAAGGTCAGCTCCATGTAATTGCCTTGCTCAATGATCCTTAGGAGGAAGAAATTAAAAGTTGAGCAAAATAATGACTGAAACAATGAGACATGATTAGCCAATCAGAGAGCTAAACCCATTATGGCAGCCTTTTGATCTACTTCCTGCTTCCGCCCAGAGGCTTTATGGCTTTATTTTAAAACAGTCAATATATTAACCAGATTAAATCACAGCAGTTTATTCACCTTGGGAAATATTAGCATTTTAACTATGGTGGAAGAAAACTATAAAGCACTGTGAACACACTGCTACTGAGAGGAAGTGGCGGCAATCTGTGACCAAAGAACATGAACAATTATAATTGTATTAATAATATTATAATATACATGATTTAATAACACAAATTATGCAAATTATTATTATAATTGATTATATTATTATATTGAAAATCTTCCCCCTTAACATTATTTTACCTCAGTTCAGAATTGTAATTAAAACACTTGCTGAAAAAACTGAAACTGTAATGAAATGTATTATGTCAACAGATTTCACATTATTAGATTAGCTGAAAGCAATAATATCAAGTTTAAATAAAAAAGATCAGGTTCAACTTAATATAATTGCTTTTTACTAACCTAATACAGTAATGTGAAATGTGTTGATATAATACATTTCATTAAAGTCACTGTTTCAGTTTTTCAGTGTGGCATTGTACCACACACACGCACGCACGCACGCACGCACGCACGCACGCACGCACGCACGCACGCACGCACGCACGCACGCACGCACACACACACACACACACACACACACACACACACACACACACACACACACACACACACACACAGGGGCAGTCCCAACCTCCTCCGAAGCGCCTTTCCGTCTCACCATTCGGCATGTGTGTGTGTGTGTGTGTGTGTGTGTGTGTTCTTGAGAGTGAGCCCGTGTGTCTTGTGTCTGTAATTATTCTAATGAAGGTTAACGAGCTCTGCTCAGCCTCCTCTTTATTAAATTAATCTCAGCCAGTAATGAATCATAATTACTATAATTAGCCTGAGCTGCTGATCTCACTCTGCTGGACAGAGAGAGACGAGGGGGGGACAACCTTCATCAGGTCTGTCCCTCTGTCTGTCCCCTCTGTCTGTCGCTCTGTCTGTCCTTCTGTCTGTCCCTCTGTCTGTCTCTCTGTCTGTCCCTCTGTCTGTCCCCTCTGTCTGTCTCTCTGTCTGTCCCTCTGTCTGTCGCTCTGTCTGTCAGTCTGTCTGTCCCTCTGTCTGTCCTTCTGTCTGTCCCTCTGTCTGTCTCTCTGTCTGTCCTTCTGTCTGTCCTTCTGTCTGTCCCTCTGTCTGTCTCTCTGTCTGTCCTTCTGTCTGTCCTTCTGTCTGTCCCTCTGTCTGTCGCTCTGTCTGTCTGTCTCTCTGTCTGTCCCCTCTGTCTGTCCCTCTGTCTGTCCCTCTGTCTGTCCTTCTGTCTGTCCTTCTGTCTGTCCCTCTGTCTGTCTCTCTGTCTGTCCCTCTGTCTGTCCCTCTGTCTGTCCTTCTGTCTGTCCTCCTGTCTGTCCCTCTGTCTGTCCCTCTGTCTGTCCTTCTGTCTGTCCTTCTGTCTGTCCCTCTGTCTGTCGCTCTGTCTGTCCTTCTGTCTGTCTCTCTGTCTGTCCCTCTGTCTGTCCTTCTGTCTGTCCTTCTGTCTGTCCTTCTGTCTGTCTCTCTGTCTGTCCCTCTGTCTGTCCTTCTGTCTGTCCTTCTGTCTGTCCCTCTGTCTGTCCTTCTGTCTGTCCTCCTGTCTGTCCCTCTGTCTGTCCTTCTGTCTGTCCTTCTGTCTGTCCCTCTGTCTGTCTCTCTGTCTGTCGCTCTGTCTGTCCTTCTGTCTGTCTCTCTGTCTGTCCCTCTGTCTGTCGCTCTGTCTGTACTTCTGTCTGTCCCTCTGTCTGTCCTTCTGTCTGTCTCTCTGTCTGTCCCTCTGTCTGTCCTTCTGTCTGTCCCTCTGTCTGTCCCTCTGTCTGTCTGTCTTTCTGTCTGTCTGTCTGTCTGTCTGTCCCTCTGTCTGTCCTTCTGTCTGTCTCTCTGTCTGTCTTTCTGTCTGTGTCTGTCTGTCTGTCTGTCTCTCTGTCTGTCCCTCTGTCTGTCTTTCTGCCTGTGTCTGTCTGTCTGTCCCTCTGTCTGTCCCTCTGTCTGTCCTTCTGTCTGTCCCTCTGTCTGTCCCTCTGTCTGTCTGTCTCTCTGTCTGTCCCCTCTGTCTGTCTTTCTGTCTGTGTCTGTCTGTCTGTCCCTCTGTCTGTCCCCTCTGTCTGTCTTTCTGTCTGTGTCTGTCTGTCTGTCCCTCTGTCTGTCCCCTCTGTTCCAATGGCTAGTATGAACACCGTTCACACACGTTTTTTTTAAATTAAAATAATAATAAGTGGCGACCATTTTTCATTTTTGATTGTTTGTTATGTGGATTTGTAGTATTTGTGTGACTGTATGTTCAATAAAGGTGTATTTTTGCTAAATCTTGAGACATTGCCACTGTATGTACTGGGCAGGGCCGATTTTTTGGCATAGGCGGTCGCCTAGGGCGCCAGATCTGGGGGGCGCTGCGCTAGTTGCTCTGGGAGGGGAAAAACATTTTTTTGACCGTTGGCGCTCATCCTAATTTTCGGCCTTGATGTAACAACATTCATAATTAAGTATAACCCTTTTCACCCCGGTTACACTTTTCATTTGCCCTGTACGATGGGCGCTGTAAGTGATGAAAGTGGGGGATGTTGGCTTATCAGGCGCCCGCAGCTCACAGCCAAAGTGTGAGTGAGAGAGCGAGCGAGGGAGAGAGGGCGCACCGGTACCGGCGCTGTTGTTATTAGAATCTGGTGCTAGCTGCGCTAACGGATATAAGAAGTAGATGTTTCTACAACCAGGGTGGAGGAGAGCTCTCCTGTCAGACTGAGAGGCTCAGTGAGGTAAAGGACTCTCTGAGGGTTTAGATAGTTCACTTTAGTCTAAGTTATCTCAGTGGGTCTCAAACAAATATGTGTTTACTAATTATGTAAACACATATTTCCAAGGCACTCCTTTATAATTATTAGGATGAATAAAAACAGGTTTGAAATCATTCCAATGTATACTATAGGACAGTAAACCAAAAATATCATTTAAAGTTGGAGAGATACAAAAATATGCATAAATAAATAAATGTTAACTGGTAAAATAAGATATAA